TTTTTAATAATTGCAATTGAAAGACTTCATATTTTTCCACATTATTTCAAACATTCAATGACAGAACAGAAACACGCTTGCAAATGTTAACACGCTTCTGAAATCCGATGTACTTCATATAGAACTGGCACAGATAAATCCAGTCCATAGTCACGAAATTTCGTAGAATCGACAAAAGTACCAAAATCTATTCATTCCAGATCAACTGGAAATGCATGTCCGACTCAGTTGTTTTCGTGTTCTGTACAACCTAATGTTCCAAATTAAATACTGCAAATTTTCGGTCACGAATACATTTCGGTATATATGTATATTTCTGCATCTTCTTTTAACAATATATTGCAACGATATAATGTCAAATTGTGGAATTTCAACGTAAACACTGTCATTGTCCTTTGTTCGCCAACTCAAGCCGGTACTGTGCATCGTATCAAACAATGTGGCATCACACGCATTGGACATTTTGTATCGACAAATATTTTGTCTTTTGTAAAAATTTATGTTTATTTGAATGGACGCTTATGCTTTGATTTATAGTTATCAAAAATGTAGAATATACTTTTACTATTTCAACTTTGGGAACATTTTTACGCAAATAGTCTCAAACGACTTAAATAAAACATTATATTACAAATTCAAACTTTGTAGCATAATTCACTAACAGCAATAATGATTGCATCTGATGAAATACTATTTTTATGCCTTTCTCTCCCTTCACACAAACATGCACTCTTCTCTCACTCATCTCATGTTCTCAAAGACAACATTTATATAACACAAGAAGATGCATTAAACACAATCGGAATAAAGTGAGATCATTCGAGTTATTACTTAATTTACATACCTGCAATATCATCGAAGTTCCAAATGTGGTATAGGAAATACCATACACTATTTGTGCCCTTGCAAGATCAATCAGATAATTTAGTGCGAGTGTTATAAAACTTCACAAAGAACAAAGGTAAGAAAGAATTAGAAACCTAAGACAACATTTTGAACAGAAATTAATACAGAAGCAATAAAATTGCAAGTAATAAAGAGCATAAAAAATACAAGGAACAGGATTATGACAAAAAATATGAGTTCAGAAAAGATGTAAAGAAATATATTGTAGCGGAAAACTCTCTCGGCTATCTGACGACTGACACTCCAGAGTGTGATAGATTCCAACTTAGCGGGATACCGCCTTATTTCTGGCTTCTCGGGCGTCGCCGACTTGGTCACAGACTAGTCGCAAAGTCGCTGACTTGTTGCAGGGTCGCCGACTGGGTCGCCGTCTGGTCGCAGACTTGTCGCAGAGTCGCCGACTGGTCTCCCTCTGGTCACCGACTTCTCGCAGGGTTGCCGACTGGGTCACTGACTGTCGCAGTCTCGGTCGCTGACTTGTCTCAGGGTCTCCGACTGGGTCTTTTTTTGGTCGCCAACTGGTCGTAGTCTTGCTTGCCGACTTAGTTACAAGGTCGCCGACTGGTCGCAGGGTCTCCGAATGGTCGTAAAGTCAATGACTGGCCTTCCCTTGGTCGCCGACTGGTCGCAAAGTCGCCGACTTGTCACAGGGCTGTCGCCAAGTCGCGTTGTTATCCGCTCGAGATCGATAGATATAAACGACAGTGTGAAATGATGGAAGAACAGTTATCCACAGACACAAACGTGTATTACTGCAAGACTTCTGCATTTGCTTGGACGAGCCTTGTAGCGCCGACTGTTGGTCGACGAAAGACCTTGTCACTATCCTTTTCAGATTCCCTAGCCTAGATCTCTCATATCCAACGGAATACGACTAAGTGTGCTTGCTATGGCGGGGTGGTTATACTACTATATTGCAGGGGATGTCTTCACTCTATGCCGCTTCCTAACGCACCATCATAGGAGCCACAGTTGGTCGGTATATAAACCTAGGCGAAACCACGTGACCAAAACCTAAAATGTTAGATGGCAGCACAAAGCCCACCAAGCATTCAGAATCACAATATAAACTTTAAATAAACGAAAAATTTGAAGCCTATGGGGTTTCCTCATTACAATATTTATTATTCTGCGACACAGGATAAACTTATATCGTAAGTCGAAACATCTGAAAATTGTTTATGTGACCATATTTTCTAAGCATAAAATACACCTAACATATCTGACCTAGAAAAAAAGCCATGCCAATGGAAGCGAAAGACATGCTGTTGTATTAATTTACTATGAAACTTATGAGTGAGAGAGAAAATGCTATTAAACAACTGAATGTACATAAAAAAAACTATTGCTTCAAACGTAACGCCTTGTCTGAATATAAAATGTTGACATTTTACCTCCCTAGAAAAACGATTCTGTTGATTTGTTACTTTTACATTTTATTTATCTTTAAATTCAAGGCATTATTATCGAATTGGCACAGGAGGCATAGTGCCTAGGGTGTACACAATCATCATGTTACATTGAGTGTATGCCCAAAGAGGCATAGTGCCTAGGGTGTTCACAATCATCATGTTACAAAGAGTGTATGCCCAAAGAGGCATAGTGCCTAGGGTGTACAAAATCATCATGTTACAAAGAGTGTATGCCCAAAGAGGCATAGTGCCTGAGGTGTACAAAATCATCCTTTTACAAAAGGTGTATGCCCGAAGAGGCATAGTGCATGGGTGTACAAAATCATCCTTTTACAAAAAGTGTATGCCCAAAGAGGCAGAGTCATGTCGATGTCAATCGTTTAAACAATATAAGAGTGACAGGCCTTACAAGGACCTTAAATCGGCCATACCTAAAATGTCATTATTTATGGTTCCTGAGTTATATGCACAGATTCAGAGACATTGGCATAAAACTAAATAAACATCAGAACGTATTTGGGTTGTTTATCCTCTTTTGAGTCGGAAGTCTAAATCTGTTGGAACTCTATAATCATGAAAGATAAGGCTTTAGTAGATTTTTAACCACTTATATTTGAAAAAAACTAATTAATAATATCAAATTTCTTGCATTAGTCTGACTGGTGCATTTTCTAAAGAAATGATTAGCTATTTTGAAAATATTGCTTTTCGACTGGTCAGGGAACGAGAGCTTTAATCTTGACCTCTATCGTTAATCACGCTGTTAGAAAAACAATCTCGTCTTTTATTTGGTTCTGAATTCTATATATACCATCAGTTATAACCCACAACTATCGCTAAAAGAACGTAGCAGATCTTATTAAACTAGATTAAAAGGTTTGGTCAATTTTTTTCTGCGTAAATTGGCACGGTTTCTAACTTTCCTTGACATACCTGCTAAGTCCTGAAATTTAATCATTCGTTTATCTTCAGCAAAAATAAGCAATGGTATTTTTGGGTTATATTAATATATTTCAATTAGGCCATCAGGAACCTAATGAAAATAATCTTGCGATCACGTGCAAATGTATATTTATATATCATAATTAGAATTTACTTGTGCAGAATTATACACTTTCATAAATTTGTATAAATTATTTCTCAAAAGATACGAATCTATGTTTTGTAAGGTGTCTTTGAAAACTATTTTGAATTTCATATAATTTCATTCAACATTAAATATTTGAGTTCCTCCCTTAATCAACTTTACCAGTGTCATGAAATCATAAATGCATTGGACACACTCAACAAAATAGCAACGCCACGGAGTAATGCAAAGTCTTTATCGTTATAAGATGCATAGAATTGTAAAGTTATTTTGATTGTGAATGTATTAAACTCAGTCAATAATAAAATATATTATTCGATGCATGTATATTAGCTGTTACTGTTGTTGTGAGTAGAGCGCCATTTTTCAGCGCGTGAAAGGCTATCGTGGCGGCCAGTAGATCTGGCTGAAGAACCCGGAAAAATCAAAATAAGAAACACAAACCCTCAAGAGTCTCGAACCCACGCAGATAGAGCTGAGATGTCAGTGATTTCTGAAGGCTAGCGCCTTAAACAACTCTGCCACCCGTGGCCTCACGGGGCATGTAATATTATACAATCAACTCCCATTTTATGAATACAATATCAAAATAACACTCGAGTAATAGCATGTTTTGTTGTATCTTGAATTGCTGACATAATACCGGAGGGTGTTTCCTGCAAATGTTAATGATACACTCGTTGGATAATTCATCATGATATTAGATGCGTGACTCACGCACGTTCTTGATAGTGAGATACAAAGTTGCAAAAAAATGTTTGCCAGACATAAGTTAGAGATAAGAGTTTGTGCATTCAATATTTTTTCTAAGGTATCCTGCTTCGTTTGAAAAAGTTATCGCTTACGTAACCATAATACCCTAACCATAGTGCCAACTCAAGACCTCAAAAGAGCTAGCATTTGCTGTACATCTAGGACAGTAAAATCATTCACATTGCTGAATGTGTAATGTGGGGGGGGACTTTCTAAACAACTCGGAAGAAGGAAAGGCTGTATGATGAATTCTTTTTATTGCGTGATTCAAAACACTGTTACAGAAGTTGGGAAGAGAAATACTCTTTGGCACCTACTGGGTTAGTTCACAAACGAAGCTAATGCTTGATAAATTACTTCAGAAATGAAATTAATGGCATGAGGAAAAAATTAATATTTTTCTTGATCTGTGTTTTAATTATTGATGGAGTCGCGTCTTGTTTTGTCTTTCGTATTCTGACGAGCTTTACAGAAGAATTTATTCATAAGAAACGCAGCATTAATCACAAGCAAGACCAGCTGTATGGATTTACCAGAAAGCCATTCCAAAGCTTGCGGCATTAAAAAATAAGCGGTTCATTTTCATTGCTTACAACTTTAGAGTTGAGCTCACGAACACTGTGTGTGTATCTCTGTGTCGGGGGGTGGGGGTGGCTACAATATCTGTAGTGTGATAGTTTATAGTCATGTCTTTCACTGGGGCATCATGCCGCAGACATGTAGAATCATGTCCCATCTAGTTAAATTATCCTGACGGCAGGCCGACCAGTCCTATCAGTAACCTCTTATTTGTGAGAAACAAACAAGGCAACAGCTAGTACCATTTTTATAAGTATTTGGTATGATTCGGCCGGGGTTCAAACCCGCGACCTCCCGCATCTGAGGCGGACACTCTAACCACTTAGGCCACCGGAGCAATCAATTTCTTCTATATTTTTTTTAAATGTAGTTAAAATATATGTGGTCATGGTACAGATATTCAAAATGTAGTTAAAATATATGTAGTCATGGTACAGATATTAAATACTTTTCAAAATTTATACCGAAATATAAAGTTGAATCGACTGGGGAGAGCTATTATTTCGATGATCACTTTACATGGGTAATATGAATGTGTATTCCAGCAGAGAGAGTGGTCAATGGCGCTGCCCTTAAGTTTTTTTTATTTTTAACACGAGACACGTTTCAACCCATTATTAGTTAGAAGTAAATCCTTCTTAGCAGATAAGCACTTCCTTGTTCCGGCTGTCATACATTTCGTTTAATAGTCATTATGTTTTGTTGACACCAAAAGAACTTATTGCTGAAGTAAATTTGCAGTGGGGGGGTCTCCAAAGAGTGGAGATAATTACTAGATGAATGCAGTATAGATTCGTCAGCTAAAGGATATGTGTTGGAGTCACTTTATAGAAGTCTAAGTCAATGATAAATATTAGTAAACAAAAGAAGCCCTAATACAGATCCTTGAGGAACACCTCTTAAATTAGGACTAGAATTAAGTTCATTTACCCGTACATAGGATGTATTAATGAGATTTGATATGGACCAAGTAACTGAATCTGAAGAAAGTCTCTCGTTTTTAATGGGCACCGAGTGGTCTGTCAAATCCTTTAATTATAAAATCTTTGAAGATTGCGCTATTTAAGTTCACATGATTCGATTATTAGCAGCCAGTGATCTATAAGTTTCGCCAATTCAGTTTGGCATGAAGATTTATGTGAAATCTGATTGTGACTTATTAAGTAGTTGGTACATGTTAAGAAAGAGAAAAGATGGCTGATGACATGTCTTGTCAAAAATATTAAAATACAGATAAACAAAGTATGGACCGATACCTGAATGAGTCAGAATTTTCATATTTCCTTGATAACTGAGAATATTTTTGCTAATTTCAATGACTTTAGAAATTTGCAGAAGTGATACCACAGTTAATTACTTCTTTCGATTACTAGGAGATTGATAAAGCCTATATTTTCGTAGTTTTGTGGTGAATTCTATCTAGACTTGTTTGTGTCTATTCTATTCATAATATGTTATTTTAATGAGGGAATATTGAGAGCATCATGATCGAGTGTGATTTCCATCACGAAGGCAGTATATTTGTTTGTGTTAGGTTGTGTAAAATTATACCTGTTTAGTGTTTGGGAAATATTAGTCAAAAAGAGAACCGGTTTGCTTGGTAATTAGTCCCGTTAAATATTATTTCACATGAACTGATTTCGTTGAAGCTAGCTCTTGCAATTTATACATGTTTAATTTCCAGTCTTATAAACTTTCTTTCCGAACATAACTCGGACATGTTTACCTGTTTATTGGATTAGATGTAAATTCTTTAGGTTCTTTATGTGACGTCACATTGTATGTGTGTAACGAATAACTCGACAGAAGTACTGCCATTCTAAAAATCATTTATTGACATCATATTTCTAATATTAGCAGCTCATCATAAACGGCATAATCAATACAGTTCTCAAAAACCATGCTAGTAAATTTATATCTCTGCTTTTGTTTAAGACGGTTTGTACTTACAACCTTTATTTCCTGGCAACTTTACTCTAGCTCTCTCACTACGACAAACTATCAAGATACAGCAAACAATCCCCTCACATGCAGCTACAAAAATCATGCAATTTGTATTCATTCATCAAAACAATAGTATTTGATAATTATATTTTTCTCTGTCACCTATGACACATGCCCGGTAATAACTCATGTAATTTTCTATCGTGAGCTATCGATAAGAGGCCACACTGATCTACGTGTCTACTACTCTTTACCTCAATAATTAATCACACACCACATTGCCAGGATCTCAGAATGAACCATTAAAGACAAATGTTCTCAGATAAACGTAGCCTGATATATGTTTACCTATGAATTTAGTCAAAGATTTGATAGGTTTTGAAATCCTTGTGTGTTTGATTTGCAATGCAATCTGGGTAAACAATTTTGAATATTGATGATAAAGATAGAAAGTCTGAATTCAGTGCAATCGAAAAAAAAAACCTTTAAAATCATGCTTTATTTTTTATTTGAATGAACCCTTATTTTAAATTACACTTGTCAAACCATAGCATAGGTTTGTCTTTTAAACTGCATTCAGACCAATTCCATCTATGGTCAAGTTTTATAAAAAGCTGCATGAAAATGTCCTCTCAGATCATGTCAGTCATTTCAGGTGATTATAATTTTGATTGGAGAAAATATATTTCTTTCAAGACTTGCCGCTTTCACAATATTAGACTTTACTACATGAATTAATTTTATGCGTTAGTTGCCCTGTATTAATTGTAAGTATGGCAATACTGTATGTTCAAAACCTTTCTGCTCAGAAGGTTCGAGAATAAATGGCCTATACTAGTTGTGAGATTCTTTATGTTTTGTTTCCCTTAGTAAATATGCAACATCTCGTGAGTAGAATGTGAACAAGTAACTAATAATTGTATACATTTCATCCTCGCTTTATCTGAACATGACAGAAGAAAATTTCTCAGATGGTTTCGCTAGAATAGAAGCGGAAACCTTTCATCATAGTCTCTTTTTATAATAGATGTTACTATAGTATTGCAAACTAAAAAGGTAGAAATGCCTAGATGAGGATTACTTCTCGGTCATACTGCTGGTCTCTCGTTCAATCGGCAATGTTCATTAAAAGAAATATATTCTTAAACAAATTTGAAACCTTGGATTGAGTTAAAATTAGCGGTCATACAATTTTAAAGGCCTTACTACTTTACTACAGGGTTATGTTGCAAATAATATTTAACTGCAGCAGGTTAAATTGCATTGTTAATCACATCGGGCTGAATGTAACAACATACAAACACATTAAAAACCTATAACTGCGAGTACAGAAAAAGTAATGTAAATAAAAACTGTTTAATTCATTTCTCAAAGAGTTTTTTTTTTAAAAATTTGAAAAGCGATCATTTTTAATCGACTATAGACTATAAGCTGCACTAAGCTTTTGTCTCTTTTTCGACACGTGACCCAAATTTGTTTCTTCTCGTTTCCCCCTCCACATCCCCCTCCCCAGATGATCTATTATTGGATCTATTAGATGTGTTGATGTCATCCTGATAAATGACGTTTTATGTGACCGATGAATATATTCAAAATGGATACACAAAAGAGTCTTAGTAAACAATTCTTTCAAATGTAAAGACATCAAATGTAAAGTCAATTATGAATCTCACAGCATCAATCTCAGACAAAATTGTGCAGATCAACGGTTAAATAACAAAATATATTGAAATTGCATTTCTTCTTAACAGGTCTTGGAAACTTCATCAAAGAAGAAGCTAATTTGTCTTCATTTTATCTATGACAGTTGCAGGAATTAATAATAGATGAATGGTAAATACTCTTTCATCTGCTTGCAGATGGAAGCTATAAATAGATCTGACACAACCCTTTAATGATGTTGATGTTGAAAACTTAACATATTATGTTTAATGTTTCTTGTAGAGGCATGCTCAAAGCATCACGGAAAAGTTCGAACACTTGTGTAAATGCGTAAAGAACATCATTTGGTTAGTTTGAACTTATGTAAATGCGTAATGTACATTATTTAACTAGTTTTAACTGATATAAATGCGTAAAATACATTATTTAGCTAGTTCGAACTTATGCAAAGGCGTGAAGTATAATATCTGGCTAGTCAGAACTTATTTAAAAGCATGAAGTACATTATCTGGTTAGTTTGAACTTACGTATATGCGAAAAAAACATTATTTAGCTACAAAAATAATGATCATCGATAATCAATTGTTAATTATCGTAAGCATTTACATGCTTTAGAATACACATTACAAATATTAAAAATATTGCGTAGTTATCAAATGCTATACGTGCAACTTTATACATAAGCTCAACACAGCAATCGTCAAGGGCTAGAAGGAAGAGGATGAACAAATATCGACAGTTATTGTAGTTATTTTCTCTAAAAATAATAATCTGTCTCTTATTTTAAACGTTTTATAAACAAATTTCGTTCCTGGGCATATTATTTTTATATCTAGAAGTTAATAATTCAATATACCTGTGCATTGATGACGGTTCGTCCCAGAAGTACTTTCCGATTGGGTTTATACGCAAGCCAAAACACGAAAATTGCTAAAATTAAAATGGTGTACATCTTCAATATCATCACTGGCATAGAGCATACAATATCTTTCACATCTACCGATTCCAAATCTTCCAAATCTCAAAGCTTATTATTTGTCAAAGCTCGTCGATCTTTATGGTTACGCAAGTATTGGAAATAATCTTCGAACCCAATGTTTGCTTTCAAAGGTTTGCATATAGATAGTTTTTGTCAAAATTTTATAATTTTTTATTCCAGACTGATAGAAAAGCATCAGCATCCCGTCGTTTAAAAATTAGAATATACTTAAATCAGTTTACAGAATCAGGAAAAGTGTGAACTTCACAAAAACCAAATCTTTTTAAAATTTATTTTAGTGGTGTAAACCCATTCATACCATTATCTAATTCATTTTCAACATATAGCTGCCTCGGTATAATGTTTTGCAGAATTTTTAATTCTAAACCAATATTTAATTAACTTAATCAGCCTAAAATATTTAAATATGATTCTTTCTAGTCCACCAATTATACATCAGAAGTAGATATGTTTTTACATTTATCAAATATTTTAAATATCATCATTGGAGACTTTCAGATGCGTCAGCTTGGGGAAAATCTTTTATCTATGATGCGTAATTGAACACTAGAACAGAATAAATACACAAAAGTTTCAAACATTCATTATAATTGAAGTAACATTTTGTTCAAATTACAAAAAATAATATTCATTGCCTTTTATGCTGTTTCATCCAGTGTTTGTGGAGCTTTAGAGAAGTTTCCATTGCTCAAGAAAACAAGAGCAAGGTTTTCCACAACCTCAATAGTAGTATAG